ATTTTCCGAAAAAAATCTATGACCAATTTATTTTCTATAACAATAATGTTGTTTCCTATGCACACATCTTTTTAAATACACCCTGACAAAGTCCATGATGCAATAATACAAAGTAGAGCCACATAAGGTGAATTACAAAAAGTCGACTATTTATAAAGTGGCTTCTTCTGTCAATTTAAAATACACAGCATGGCATTATTACAGAAGGTAGTCTCATTTGAGAATTTAATTATGGCAACCCTTTTTAATTTGGAACTCATCTATCAATTTTTGGTCTGTTCCCGTACTGCAATAATCTTCTCGATTTTACTACTTCCTTCGATATCATAAAGGAAAATTCGTTATCGTAGTAAAAAGTAGTAGATTCTTGCTGTACGGGAACAGACCATTTAAATAATATAAAAATTGAATTACATAAAATTGTATGTATGTCTGAATTTAGATTATGCGAGTTTACTTGCGGCAAGTCTTTGTTTGCTCGAGAGAGGGGCAAGGGAATAGAAATTGAAAAAAATTGCTCGTACCGACAATTTTCTGGCAATTCGTTTTGTGTATTTTGTTTGTAGTGTCACTAATTTGAAATATCAATCAAGAATATTGTCAAAAAAGAAATATTTTTGAAACCGAATTGCCTTGTGTAGACGCATGAAGCAAGTTCAAAAGAGAAAGATAATAATTGCCTCAAGTAAACTCGCCTAATCTAAATCAGGACTATGTCGATTGGAAAATTTTCAATAAATTAAACAAAATATATTTTCTGAAGCTGAACATTGCTCTCAAGATTTAACCCATGGTACAATTAAAAAAAGTAACAGCAAATCCCAGCTGATTTGATTCCAACGTAATACTAGTGTCAATATGAATTTGACAAATTATGTTTTTAAAAATCACCCAACAGGAAAATTGGGAACGCATACAATTTGAAATTGTTCTTTATTAAATGTGCTCTTGTATTCAATTTACTCAATCTGCCTGCTGGGAAAGTTTGAGGAAGCAAATCTTTCTTCAAGGAATAACTCGCTATTCCCAGCATTTTCATATGTGTTACACATATATATGACAATGGCTCAATTATAGGAAATATGTGGAAGCGATAGAAATATAAATTTGAAAGATTTTCATTCATGTTTTTCAATTTTTATTTTGAGGATTCGAAAATATTTAATTTTCAAAATAAAAATAATTTGATGATAATTGGTTTGTTTGTTTACATTTTTCTGTCAAATGAGTTGACACTAGTAGAACTTACAACAACAAATTTCCATGTGGTTGTTGTATCGTTTTTTGTACAACAACACTTGCTGTTACCTTCTATTATTATACCATGGATTTAACCATGGTTGTTAGGTCTTATATTTATAAGTTTTAAAGACAGGGAATTTGAAAATACTCATAAATATAAATTATTTAGCAATTTTTGCCACTGAATATGCGTACATTTCTAAGGAAGATATTTTCGTTTAAATTTTAAAGGCTGAGCACTGTCAAAGGGAAATTTATGAAAAAATTGGAAACATATGACTACATGAGACTACCTTGTATAATTATGTCATTCTTTTAAAAAAATATTAGTTGCTGTTGTGTAATAATTATACAATGCTACAATATTTTATTTTAAATTGATCCAGAATTTTATACATTTTCCATTGTCATTTATAATAAACATATATCCAAAATCCCTCCATTGCTACTTTGTTTTTTCTTGAGAGACAGATCCTCACCTAAAATGTCTGTATTTCGCCTCCAAAATGCATCAAACTCGGCTTCAATATTCCTTATTGCCTTTATACATTCTGTGGCAATATTTAGATGAGCATGCATCGTTATCAATAGGCATTTATTTGTTGTATTCGAGTTAAAAATGTGCACACACTCATTTATAATTGGTATGTTCCCGTACTGCAAGAATCTACTAGTTCTCACTATTTTGGAAAAAAAGTGTTATCGTAGTAAAAATTAGTAGATTCTTGCAGTACGGGAACATACCAAATATTGTAAATCGTCATAGACATTTTAGATATTTTTCATAAAAATATTTATTACCTATTGTTTTTGTAGGCAGCTCCCTTTAAATTTATTAGCGAAAAATATCGTACAAAATGTCATCTCATTCTCCCAATAATCAAGAATAACTAATTTTTCCCAAAAGCGAATTTTTCGGTTTCCAACTTTATGCAGAATAAGGCGAAAGCGAGAATGCGAGAAAAAAATCACTGGGAAATGTTGTTTAAAATAAGTCGGAGGGGAAGAGCGAGTAGATTCACGTGGAATTGCCATCCAGAATAATGGGGGAGACACATAAGAGGACTTTCAGGCTTGGCATGTTAAGTTGGCTTCTTTTATTGAAAAATAATAAAGGAGAACGGCGTCCAAATTCAAATTTGACTCTGATATTCCTTTATAAATTGACAATTCGTACGAAGCCAACTTAACAGGGCTGTTGGTGCAAATAAATGTCAAAAATGTAGTTGTAATGTTTGTTGCTGGCTGCGGCTAGAAGGGCAGGAGGCTTGCGTTAAACAACGTACAAACGACGGCTTTTTATGTAAAGTACAAATGTACGTGGTGATGATGTTTATTTCTACAAAATAATAACTGTAACATTACAAAAACAATAATATACGACAAACAGTTATATCTTACCGCAGTTTTGCACCTCCTTCTTCAACAAGATCAAATTTCAAATGAGACAATTGCGCTCAGAACAACAATAAAAAGAATATGAGAAGAAAGAGGAACACGCAAAACAACGGTTTACATTGTAAACGTCAAACGATGTTATTCACTAAAAATTGATAACTCTGATAAACTATGACACACAGTCACTGCTCGTTCTGGAACACCCCCGCCCCCGTGGAGCGACCAGCTTCACTAACATCTAGATCCAGAACAGCTAATTTCGACACCGGACGTTGCAACTCTCCCGATGAAGTTTTCACAACGGCTCGTCTTGGAACACCATCCGTACCGGCGAAGACACAAGTGACCAAACCTCTCCGCCATTGAATCCTGGGAACATTTGGGTCGCAGATGAACACCACATCACCAACCTTGATAGGTTCAGCACGTTCGCACCACTTGACTCTCCTCGTGAGAGTGGGCAAATATTCTGCAATCCACCGCTTCCAAAATCTATCTCTCAGGCTTCTAAGAATTCTCCACTGTTTTTTCAGGGAGAAAAGCTTGCCGTCTGGTTCATCGACGGACGGGGTTGGAGCAACATTTCCTCTGCCAATAAGGAAGTGGTTAGGAGTAAGTGGCTCCTCTTCATTAGGACTTATCGGCAAGTGAGTTAGTGGACGGGAATTTACAATATTCTCTGCTTCGATCAAAAGAGAATACAGCACATGTTCTCTGGGGGAGATTTCCTTCAACGTTTGCCTTAAAACCTTTTTCACACACTGTACCATTCTTTCCCAGATACCACCTTCCGAAGGATTTGCAGGACAATTAAAAATCCACTCAATTCCTCTTGTGGATAACTCATCCTGTATTCTATGAGCGTCGAAAACTTCGGCGAATCTTTTTGCCTCTTCATGAGCACCAACAAAGTTTTTGCCGTTATCAGAACGAATTCTAGCAGGAACACCTCTGCGATTAATAAAATTTCTTATGGCGATAATGCACGAATCTGTTGACAAATCATGAGCTAACTCCAAATGTATAGCACGTATAGTCAGGCATGTGAACAAAGCAACCCACCTCTTCTCCGCTCGTCTCCCAATTGTTACAGTAAGCGGGCCAAAATAATCGAGTCCTGTGTACTTGAAAGGTACGACGTTAGGTTCAAGACGATCGAAAGGAAGTTGTCCCATGATGGGTACTCGTGGCACACATTTTCGTGATCGACATATGATACACTCAGCAACGACTTTCTTCAACAAGCCCCGTATTTGTGGTATCCAATATTTTTTCCTAATCTCGCATATAGTGGCCTCGTGGTTCTGATGCATCATTTGTCGGTGGTGATGCATCACTAAAAGTTTTGTAAAATGATGATCTTTTGGCAATATTATTGGCCTTTTCGTGTTATAGGGTAGGTAGCTGGCTGCATCTATTCGTCCATACACTCTCAAAAGGCCATCATCATCAATATAAGGCGATAAACTTATTAAACTACTGCTTCGAATCGGCTGTCCCTTTTCGATACAACAGAACTCGGCTGCAAATCTTTCTCTTTGTACTTGCCGGCACAACACTTTCTCGGTGTAATTTATTTCACAGGAGGTGAGGCCATACTCCTCTGAATCATCAAAAATCTTTCGACATCTTTTTACAAAACGAAAAATCCAGCAAAATGATCTTATCATTCTGATGAAGGACGAAAATCGAGTCAAATCAATCAAGCCCTTTTCAAAAACTAACAAAGAAATTTTAGGACACATTTCCTCAACATCGTTCACACAGGTTGTATCTATTACACCTGTAGGCCAATCACCTTCATTAATCATCAAAAAATTGGGACCTCTTAGCCATCGTGATGAAGGTAAAAAATCGATATTTTTGAAGGCCCTTGTGCCTTCGTCGGCTACATTTTCATGTGTCGAAATCCATCTCCAATTCTCGACTTTTGTTGATGATAAAATTTCTGAAACACGATTAGCAACGTACTGTTTATATTGCCTATGACTACTCGATATCCATCGTAGGACTGTTGTGGAGTCACTCCACAATACAGTCTTTTCTGGAGTCAGACTATGGGACGACAAAATAGTTTGCATCAATCGCGTACCTAACACCGCGGCTTGCAACTCCAGGCGTGGAATTGTAACTCTTTTGATTGGTGCACATTTAGTTTTGGAAGTTATAAAGCTAGTGCCAGTAAAACCATTTGATATATACCTCCAGTATGCGATTGCAGCAAAAGCTTCTTCACTAGCATCAACAAATATATGAAGTTGAAGTGATGTTGGCAACCCTACTCCAAAATAATATCGAGGTACTCGAAAATCAGCAATGTTTTTCATCTGGTTTCTCCAATTCTCCCAACTGGCACTTACATCATCTGGAATGGTATCATCCCATCGACAGTCGTGCTTCCAAATCTGGCGCAGTAACAATTTGCCACCCACTGTAAAATGACCCAAAAATCCGAGAGGGTCAAATGTAGACATTATTACACTTAAAACCTGCCTTTTTGTTGGTTTCTTTTCTCCAGAAATAATAGATGAATCGACGCGATTAAATTTCAAATTAAACATAAAGTTATCACTGGAAGGCTCCCAATACAATCCTAAGACCTTCTCGGTTCCACAATCAATTGACATTGCTTTTGTACTTCCATCGAGCGCCAGGGAGACGTCCTTTGAGTTCGATATAAAATTCCTTAATTCAAAGCCTCCGTTTTTATGAATTTCTTTCACTTGCTTTGAAATAATTATAGCTTCGTCTACACTATCAAAACTATCCACAAAATCGTCAACGTAATGGTGCTCACAGATGGCCTCAATTGCTCTTGGGTTATAGTCCAAATGGTCTTTAGCATTGGCATTCATAACGAAAATGGCCGAACAGGGTGAACAGGCTGCACCAAATATCATGACTTGCATCTCATATTCATCTGGTGGCTTATTTTGATTTTCATCTCTCCATAAGAACCTCTGGGAAACTCTATCACATGGCTGAATTTTGACTTGGTGAAACATTTCACATATATCGGCACCAACTCCTATTTGGCCTCGGCGAAAATTATATAGTATAGACAACAAAGAGGCGATATTTTGGGGCCCTTTCAACAGTTGGGAATTGAGTGAAATATTATTTACCTTGGCGGCGGCATCAAAAACTAGTCTCAACTTTCCAGGTTTGTTGTGGTTGACTACCCCGAAGTGCGGCAAATACCATTTTCGATCACTTGGAGCATGTATCTCGTCTGACGATAATTTTCGAACATAACCCTTATCAATGTATTTCTGCATTATATCTCTGTAGGCTGCAGAGAAATTCGAATCTCGCTTCATTTTCCTTTCAATTCCTTCCAGTCGACTAAGTGCCATAGGGTAACTATCTGGAAGTTGGACACCATCTTGTTTCCATAGTAGGCCTGTTTGAAAACGATCTCCGATCCTTTTAGTAGTTTCATGTAGAATCCGCCTGGCTCTAACATCATCGTCGCTTTCAATTAGAGGAACTGATCTAACGCCCATACTTTCCACGTTAAAATAATCAGCTACCATTTGATGAAGTTCGTCTTTGGTTTCTACTGATATAAACAAACATGATTTCTCCACTGGGCTCAGAGAGCGGCATGGTCCAAAAACAACCCATCCCAATTCTGTATTGAAAGCAAATGGGCCGGCTGTATTATTGATCCTACAGGACGATGGCAACCCTAAAGATGCGTGATCTAATCCAATCAGTAATTTCGGCACTACATTGCAGTAGGGTTTCACTGGGGGTTTTTTACAATTTTTGAAGGCTGATAAAATTTCATCCTCACTTAAACTTTGCATCGGGAGGTTAAGATTTGATACAGCGTACACATTTTTTAATAAGTGGCAACCACTTTTTCCTGCACCACTCACCTTTATGTTAAAGGATGTCACGGGTTCCCTTGCAGATCGACCTCCGAACCACTGGACGTTAAGAGAAGTATTCTTTCCACGTACTCCTATTTTGTCGGCAATATCCCTGTCCAACATGGTAATGGACGATCCATCATCAAATAAGGCATATATTTCCAAAGAGCAATTATCCCCATGAAGAGTGACAGGCAGAACGCGGAAGAGGAGCTTCTTCTTATTTTTGGTAGAACAGCTGAGGACATTCTGTTGTGGTTCTATTTCAGGATTTGGCAACATATGTTGTGGAGCGTTGACGGTATCCTCGTGAAGCAATTTGTGATGTCTACGCTGACATCCTTCTACAGGACATACCCGTTTACGGCGACAATCTCGAGTTGTATGTCCAATATACAAACAGGAAAAACAAGCACGAATCTTCTTGATCTGTTTCCATCTATCTGGTATACTTAAGTTCAAAAAACGGCGGCAATCATATATCCTATGCTCTCCCTGACATATATTGCATTGTATTTGCTGTCCCGTGGAATGCAAAAGAACTCGTCGCTTTTGGTCCTTGCTTTCAACCTCCTGCACTACGCATATCAAATTGGCCATCTCACAGAGCCAATCGCTAAAATGTATTATAGTGGGATAAGGTCGAATATTAGTGGCAACTCTGGCCCATTCCAATTTTTTGCTCATGGGGAGCTTTGAAACCAACTCTTCCAGCAGAGTAGGGTTAGCAATGTGCTGTTGCCCATTTACCGATTGCAAAAAGACAGCTAAATTTTTAACTTTGGTAGAAAATGGCACTAGTTTTACTAAATTGTTCTCCGAAATCTGTGGTAAATCTCTGGCTTGACGTAACTGACTATGGATGAGTTGCTCTGGTCTACCAAATCTAAAACGAAGTTGCTTTATTATTTCTTCGACGTTATCAGGATGAATCAACAGCGACTTGACAACTTCTCGAGCTTCTCCCTTTAGACATTTATGTAAACGTTGGTTGTTTTCCAAGTTTGAGTAACCATATGCAGAAGTGGACTGGTTGAAGGCTGTATAAAATAATGGCCAGTCCTCCGGATCACCACTAAATTCTGGCAAGTCTTGAATTTTTCTTGGCATTACGAAGGTTGATGCATTTGAATTTGGAAAACCACTTAATTGCTGTATATTTTGAAATGGCTCCCACGTTGGCAGTGAAAAGTTTGAAGCAGGGTCGGCGTTGCTGCTGGCTGCAGTTGCCGCTGCTCGCAAAGCTGCCATCTGGGATGAGGACGCGCTGGTTGTTGTAGTTACATACAGATTTTCATTCGCTACGGCTGCGTACGGCGACGGCATGCCGACGTTGCTGCTCGTTATAGGTTGGAACATGGCGGCGGTTGTATGTGTGGTTGCTATATTTGAATAACGGGACCCAAATGTTGTTGGCGGCATGGTATCAATGGCGGTTGCAAATGGCGTTTGCGAGGCTATAACTGATGTGAGGTTATGGTCACTTACCTGGGATGATGTGCTTCGGAGTGCACATTGAAGTTCCTGGCATTGGCGGTTGCTGTTGGTTAGCTTTACCTGTGTCTCCGATAGCTGGCTCTTTAACAGGTTAATTTGCATCTGCATCTCTGATGGACTGGCAGGCATTGACGACATCGTCGACTGTGGCTTGGTTGTAGGCAATGATTGGATTATGTTGTTTCCAGGAGGCATACTGGTTACACAATTATCCACCAGCACTGGCATTTGCTGTGTTATAGTTTGCTGTTGATGGCTACTTGGCATGGTAGCGGACTTTCCATTTAATTCCAGGGAGGAATTTGGTGCTGTCTGCACTCTATGTGAGGTTACAGGATATTCCCCACTCTTATTACTACCACCGGCAGTTTGTGTGGTTGTTTGTTTTGTGGCAGTTGTTGGCCTTGACTCTGGCTGAGCCTGATCAGGAAGATCATTGGTTACAGCATCTGCATTTAAATTACCTTGCAGGCGAGGACTCCGGCGTGGTGGAGTATGCTGTAACATTTTTCCAACAAATCTAATTTGGTTTTACAAAAATCACCACGGCAATAAATTGCAGGAATATTTAATGAAAAATTGCAGTTTAAAACAACAGCAAACTGCGAAATAAAGAAATGTTGCTGGCTGCGGCTAGAAGGGCAGGAGGCTTGCGTTAAACAACGTACAAACGACGGCTTTTTATGTAAAGTACAAATGTACGTGGTGATGATGTTTATTTCTACAAAATAATAACTGTAACATTACAAAAACAATAATATACGACAAACAGTTATATCTTACCGCAGTTTTGCACCTCCTTCTTCAACAAGATCAAATTTCAAAATGAGACAATTGCGCTCAGAACAACAATAAAAAGAATATGAGAAGAAAGAGGAACACGCAAAACAACGGTTTACATTGTAAACGTCAAACGATATTCACTAAAAATTGATAACTCTGATAAACTATGACACACAGTCACTGCTCGTTCTGGAACAATGATATCGAAAAAATAGTAAAAACTCGTACATTCTTGCAGTACGGGAACAGACCAATTGTTTATGTGTAAATGTTTAGATTAATATGAATTGCTAATTGTTTTCTGTGAGGGAGGAAGATAGGACGATGTTGCAGTAAGGTGAGTGTGTGTGGAAATAGGGGCCCTTTAAAATTAAGTGTTTATGAGGACAACAAGGGTCAAGGTTGGGCGGGCGAAATGCGGGAATAATTGACACCAAATTCCCTCGTTATGGTCGTATGTGTGTTGTCGTTTTTGTATTGTTGTTTTTTTTTTGTTTTATTTCCGTTTTCCTTTTTGATTGTTCGACCCCTAGTGCTGATGGTGGTAGGGTTGGGAATTCACCCCTAAAGCGGTGCCCCGACTAAGCTGGTTGGAACCCCACCAGGAGCCGCAGTAGGCGGTACGCAACAAATGTTTGTCACATAATAGGGAGAATATATTTGGTTGATCTCTTAATTTTTTTAATTCGTTCATCATTCTCATTCTAATCATAACGCCACCGAATCCATAAGTTATTATTTTTAAACACTCGTGTCGCACAAAAATATGTTTTTATTTACAATTTTTCGACGTTTGCTTTTCTTATTCTCCGTTATAGTTTACTTTGTGATGCCAGTGTTGCATTATTTTCGATTTATTTTGCGAATACGTTTGCGTCAGCGATAAAGAGTACCAAATTGCACTCTTAACGCATTTGGCTTTCGCAACGCAATACAGAGTAACCCCCCTGATAAAGTTACAATGAATGTACAAGGATTTGCAATCTCTCGCGAATTTTCCCATTCATGAACGTAAACTTTTGCTGAATGCGTCGCATCTACGATCATTCGCGAGCATTCATTGCTGAATAGCATTCATTTATAAAACTCAAAAAACAATCAATGTTCCCGAACTCCGTTAAAACATCTACGTCCGAAATGACCCGAGTCTTACTCGGCCAACGTCTGTCATCTCAGCCCATTGTGTAAAAGCAATAGGGCTGCTAGTACAACAACCATAAAAAAGTAACACACAGCGAATGTAGCAGAAAGTGTTGAGCATGTGTGGAATAACAAAACAAATGCCCAAAAACTATTGAGTTCACGAAAGTTTGTTCTTATTCTTGTTGCTTTATTGATCATTCGCGAGAATTCGCGCTTTTTCATTCGTGAGCGAATGTCAGAAAGAATTTCAATCACTAGAGATGGGCAGTGGCTAAATACCCATCTGTGGGTATTCACTATATTGAATCTGTAATACAACATCTTATACCCTATTTCCGGGTTTCTGTTATCAAATCGATTTACAGCCCTAACTAAAATTCAACTAGCTCGTTCGTCGTTTTTCACCACAAAAGTAGAACACATGTATTTATGCCATGTACAGACGAGCGTTGTTCGCTCTCTCATTCGTTGTTCGACCCTTAATTATGAAGTAATTACTTAGTTCCCCATACAAAATTGTCTGAGCGAACACCTACTTTTGTACGTTGTTCAAATTGAATCACTCTCTGAATCACCAAGAATTTTGTCCCATCTCTAGCAATTGAGAGAATTTATCGAAAATAAATTAATTTTGACAGCATGAACATTTTTTTAAAATTTTCAAACTTTTTCAGTAAAATTGAAAATGATGAATAAAAAGTAAACAAAATTCTAGTTTTTATATATGCTGAAGGATGTAAATTTTGTTGTCTACATGATGCAATATGCATTTCTTTTCCCTTTGTTCTAATTAGCGTACAAAACGAGAAACAAAAGTGGGGAAACCCAAACAAAAATTCTCCAATTTTTTAAATGTGGCATTTGAGTTGAGAAAATATAAAAATGTATTGAAAACAACAATATTTTCAGGAAAAATGGAAAACATGAATTAAAAGTAAAGAGATAGGGGTTGATATTATAGTCCGGAGAAAGAGAATTATTTTTTCTATTTAGATCCATATGTGATTCACGCAAATATGTTACAATTTTGGTGTAAAACAAGAAACAAAAAGTTTGAAATAAAAAACTCTGATGAATTAAGAATAGTGTTGTATGAACGGGTTAATTCATGTACGTAATTCTGAGAGCGAACTACGTTGTTCGAATGCCCGTCAGAACATGGCATTATATGATTGTTACCGAAATACGTAGAGCGTACAAAATTTCAAGTTGAACAATTTCAACTTTGGCAGAACGTATTTGTTGTTTTTTTCTTTTGTTGAAAATAAATACAAAAATTTTCAAAAGATATGAAATTTCGAATGTAAACATAAAATATTTGGATTAATTTAATAAAATTTCAATTTTAATATGCGGTTTGTATTATTCGCTTGAATATAAGGATTCGACGTATTTGGGTAATACGGCCGTACGCAACATTTTGCAAAAAATTGGGAAGTTGAATTTTCTCTACGCTCCGTCGGATTATAGGTAACGTCATGGTATAATTATTACAAGGTAGGGCACAGCTATCAACTGATTACCATTTTTTCTCAAGGTGGCTTGTTCCATCAAATCAAAATACATATTTTGTGTATATGTGTGTATTGTTTTGAATACTATGTCATATAAATTCAAAATACATTGAAATATATTCAAATTTAATTGAAATGAAAATTATGTTTTTAACATGTTCGTCTGGAAGTAATTACTTTGTTATGGATGAAACAAACATTTGATGGTATTACCTACTGGATTTTGGGAAGAAATCATAACCTTTCATTCATTTTTCGCGTTTTTAGTTTTGTGTTGAAAAAATGTCAAATAAACACAAAAACTCGTGTTGCGTATATTTATTTTATTTTTGGCAGAAGAAGCCACACGTGCATAGGTGCTATTTTGTTATTCACCTCAAGCTGCCCTACCTTGTATTATTGTACCATGGGTAACGTTGTTAGAATGGATAGTTTTACGATACTTTAAAGACGTGGGTAAATACCCGTATATGCGGAACCATTTTGCATTCATTTTTTAATGTCAAAGTAAATATAGAAATCCAAAATGGGGTCCGTGGGTCCAAGTTTTGATATAGCCGCCATATAACCGTATCTCCCGATTTAACGTATTTTTTGTCTATTAGACACATTTTACAGCCAAATTGGCTGTAATTTGGCACAGTGTGTTCTTTTTGGGTACCAAATGTCCATGCAATTTATGTATGTAGGTCCACGTTTACTGGTAGCCCCCCTACAAAGGTTCCCCTATTTTGAGTATTTACCCAAAAATTGGGTATAAACTCATTAACTGCCGAACCACTTGACATAGGGTATTTACCCAGTAAATTCCATTTCTATCAATCACCAAACAAAGATCGGTATTATGTGCTCTCACGTTATTGCGTGTAAACATTCGTTTGGTAAAGAATTTATCGCGATAAACTGATTCGTAAAATAAGCAAAAACGAACAAACGGACGGCTCACAAGAAGGACGCAATTTAAAAGTATAATACCCCCAAGGGCTTAAACATAAAATTTTACAAAATGGCGATTTGTTAAGCCTTCGCTTAACTAACCCGTGTTACAATTATCAGACTGGACGAAATTCATAGTATACGAAATAACCTATCAAGTCTTAGTCATTGACTGTTTTCGTGTATAATTGCGAGCGTTTCATAAGCATAGGCAAGAAGGAATGTATTGTATTCTTTATTTATTTTTACTGTTATAATATTTTATGTGGATTTTACAAACATTTAAAAGTTTAAATATGTAATATTTATCTGGTGTTTAGATGTGGGTAAGTGGTGTTTATACTTTAGCGTGGTGTTTTAGGTCATAACAGAATCTTCGTAATCCTGCTTGATATATCACATATATGTGATATATCTTCCAATTAATTTTATTCTGGAGTATTTCTTGTCACCATCGCTTGTGAAATGTACGTAAACATGAACGTACCGTTGTTGGTATTAGTTTTATTTCTAGCAGAAAAATTAAAATTCAGCAGACGTTACAGATGATGCTTCTCATGTATTTGGCTTAGTGAGGACTTCGTCGCAATCAATATAACTAACGGCTATGTGATAAGCTTCACTGCTGGAGTGTGATTTCCTTCCATCATTACCAGGGCCATTTGATGTTATATGGACATGGCAACATACACGGTCTGAATGTAGTAGTAGCAGTAAACGTTATTTTTAGGGATGGCAGATCAGATATCGAATTTCTAGTATGCGCTAAAATGTTCTTAAGATCAAAAATGTTTTAATAAATGAAAAACAAAATAGAAATAAAAACAAAAAATTGCAAATAAATGTATATAAAGGAGAGTAAAGAATATACACAACGTATAATGAAGGAGAGAAATAAATCCATTTGATTTTAGAGGAATACCTAAGAATATTTGAGATACGCAATGAGACGATATAAATTTATTAAAGAAACCAGATGATTTGGAAACAAATTATAAACAATTTTTTCCAAAATTGTTTTTTTTCTGGCAAACCATCTCATTTTTTTGTAATTATACATAAATATTTGAAACTGTAACGAAATTTCAAATTTTAGTAGGGTCGAGAAAAACAATTTGCCATGTTTCTTTT